ATATTCTTAACTTATATTTGACAACATGGGCTCAGAGTTGAACTCTTGACCAGCTTCACATAAAACAATTTAGAAAGTTTTATACATTGTTAGGTGGTTTTTCTAACTTTTTAAATAAGCCCCTAAATCTGCATTTTTAGATTTTCCTAAATCACTTTAATCCCATTATAAAATCCAGTGTAGTTTTACTTATAGCAATCTTTAATAAAAAAAGTAGTATTCACATCCTAAAGCAAAAGGTGTGGACTTCGCTTCAGTGGGAATTCAACTACAGTATTGATATAGATTCAATACACAGAGTGAAATATTTCAAGCCTTTATTTCTTGTAATTTTGATGATTATGGCTTACAAATAATGAAAAAAACTAAATTCCGAGTCTCAGAAAATTAAAATATTGTAAAGAGGTTCAATATTGTAAACTCCTGGTATCATGCCCTATTCAGCTGATTAACTCCGGAGCTACAAATGTCACATTCCTCCAGTCAAGTCACTCCTGAACAAGCGACATCAGAAATGTCTTACATGGCTGAGGAGAAAAATAACTGAACTGTTGCTCAGTGCTCCAATGTCCTCACATTAAAGTAAATTGTGCATGTCATTTGGAAATCAAGTTCCCACAGTCACTCTGGAGGAATAGTGGAGAGGTCCAGAATCCATGTTGCTTGAAGTCCAGTGTGAAGTGTCCACCATTAGAGATGATCTGGTATCATGTCTTCTGCTGGTGTTGGTCCACTGTGTTTTCTGAAGTCCACAGTCAACACAACATCTATCAGGGGATTTTAGAGACTTCATGCTTCCTTCTACTGACAAGCTTTATGGAGATGCTGATTACATTTTCTAGCAGGACATGGCATCTGCTCACACTGACAAAGGTACCAAAAGCTGGCTATGTAATACATATTCTAATTTTCTGAGAGAAACAGAATTTTGTTTTTTGCATTATTATACTGTAAAATTACAGTAAAGGCGTTTAACTCTGTGTATAATGAATGTATGCAATATAGCTTCACTTTCGGAAATTATTGACAATAAAAACTGAACTTTTTTTTTTCCACGATATTATAATTTTTTTTTAATGCAACTGTAAATCTGGACAGAAGCACCACTGTCATGCTATTTCATTATTTATCGGTAGATGGCGGTATTGTGTCGCATTCTGCATTTTAGTAATTTACTTCGCCTCGTCATTGTTTGAATGGGTTGCTAGTCAGGCCCGAGTTGATAGCCAGCGTTAATGTCTAAACATTTTTCCATAAAAAGTAAATAACAAGAAGAACACCAACCACACGACTGCATGTTTTGTTTTTGTTTTTAATCAAGAAACAACCCTTCATCATGCAGTCACATGTCACACTTCATGCGCTCCTGTTGCATTCACGCAATCTGATTGGCTGCTACCTTAACCAAGCACTTCTATTACGTATTAGCATATCCTTCCGCGTCGTTCATCGTTTATTCGTTTTACAAACTTCTGGTTTAAAAAGCAACAACAAAATAAAAACAAGTGTTTGATCATTTTCACAGCGACTGTGGTTGAGACTGTCGTGAAAAATTAGTTTATACTGTTCTTACTTGTCTACATCCTGTCGGATGGATACGCTTCAGCATCCCTAGAAAGTAGTTCCATAGCGTGAGGAAGAGGAACTGTTGGGGATCACCTTGAGCTGCTCTCAGTCTGCCTGCAGTCGCATCGGTCTCAACGTTGCCTATTTGATCCAAGGTGGGTATAATAAACAGGGCCTTAAGTTAAGATATTTAACGGTAGTTTAAACATTTGCTATCCAACTTTTATGTATTTTATCGCCTTGTCCATTCGGTTTTTTTTTTTTTTTGTCGCAGAGTCATCCTTGGCGCTGGTAAATTCGAGTATTTTGATTGACCAGCGATTTTTAACTTTTACTTCTACATCTGGTTATTAAATTAGCTAATATATCTGAATGATTGAAATAAACAAATTAGATTTGTGTTTCACATACGACGAGTTAACGATGGAGTAAATGAACGGGGGAAAAAAACAAACAAATCTTTTTTTTCTGCTACTGAACACTGTTTTTATTCGGATACTAGCATATACCTTTAACTCAAACCGCCTATACTTTTTGGTTGTATATGTAATATCTAAAATATGTCTTAATGTAATGTTAACCGTTGTTGTACGAATGCTTCCTGGTGTGGGTGTGGCTTTTCCGCTTTCTCGACCTCCTATTGGTCAATCTCCCTGAAGCCTTTCGATCAGGAAAATGTGACGCAGGATGTGAGAACGTGACCTTTGCCGCATCGTCGGAAATTTAACCTAGGCTGCGTTTAAATGTATGACGTGGACAAGATTTTAACTGGCAACACAAACGAGATAGTTTAGTCGTGTATTATTGTGTGAATTAGACCTTTTCTTATGTGTTAATGTTGCATAATTCAATTAGACCGTCATACATTGCTTAAGTCAGGTATGTTTCTGTTATTGCTTTCTCTTGAAAATGTCTAAATACAAGTCGAACCAAGAATTTTGTAAGATATATGAGTGTGGTTTGAAACGTGTTCATAGCCTCTGCAGTGGCATGCTGCAGTGAAAATAGCACTTATTCACACTGAATACACAATGTGGGGGTAGATCTCACCGTGCCTGTCTAGACTTATACTGCAATGTTTGGTATGCTATTTCATTTAAATCTGACATTTTTTTTTTTTATTAAAAAAAAACAACTTAAAGTTGACAAACATGGTTTGTTTAATTTCAACCTATTTATTTGATTCCCCTGATCAACATCCACAGGCACGGTGACCAAGCCTGCAGCATTAGAGCTTGGAGATGGTTTGTAATGATGCAAGAAAACTGTTTGGTGTCAAACACAATTTTGGAGGCTTTTGTTGTTTTACCTGTTTAGTCTGTTCTCAAAATGTAGTGAGTAGCCTCAGGGAGTCCAGTAAAAGAGACAATGGTGAGTACCTTGGAGGCACTGTCCACACAGGAATGAGGTTTTATGAAAAGGCTTTGATTGTCCTGATGCATGCTCAATAATCCAAGTAGATAAATCTAACATTAAGTCAGGTCGTCTGGACGGATTCTTCTTTTTTGAACAACAAAGAAAAATCCATCCAGAGGACCTGATTTAACTTTATTAAAAGGCTTTAATTGTTTTAGCCTTGCATCCACACAAATGGCGCTTTGCCACTGTTTCTACAGTCATCGGTTCCACACCAGTTAAGGGCCTGCCCACTACCAGAACTCACCCCTACTCAGCCCAGTTTATGGTACCGCCTTATTTGGAGTTATAAGTGAACTACTCCAAGGTGACAATTTTGACGTAAGCAGACTAGCCATTGACTACGTCAATAGATGACTTGCCCAGCAATAGCTGCAAACTACATCTGAACAGCCGTTTTCGTGTCGATCGTTGTATAGTGTGTGTTAATTTGTTTTTTCTAGTTCAGCATGGAAACTCCAAAAATAGCACCATAGACCAATAATGAGGTCCAGACCTTTTATGTTTTTATTGGCGGATCAGAGGATTTGGCGTGAGCTGGACAACACTAAAAGAAACGAGTGAATTTAGCATGATATATTGTAAATGTTGGCGCAGCATGGCTACACCCAAATTTTTAAGCAGATCCAGGATAAGTAAAAAAAATAAAAATAAATTGAAGTCAGTTTACAGTTACGATGCCTGCCCACTTTGCATTGACGATCCCACCAATGGAGCAGGAAAATGAGTCACAGTGGCAATTGACCTACACCTGCGAAGAACCAATAAGACAAGATTCGAGTTGCACTTATCAGTGACAAAGCAGCTAAATGTTGTAGGAGACCCAAAATAGTTGTTTTTTGTATACTAGATTCTAGAGCGAAAACGTCTTGAAATCCCATCTAAGCATTTTTACTAGGACATAGTAACAAACTTTTTTTAAAACATGGTCATAGTCCCACCTTTAATCTAACCGATGTCCTCAAAATGTGACACATGTAACAACAATAATGTTGCATTTTTGTTGCAAATACCAGTTGCTCAACTAAAGCAAAACCTTCATATTTTACTGTGTAACTTCAATAAGCAGACAAGACTGATTAGCAATAACAGCCACAAAAAGGATTTGGTTTTAGCTTTTGCATTTACCATCTTGGTCTTTTTCTTATTGTGTTTTAAAGTTTGGTGGGTTTGTTCCACATGTTTCATGTTGCTGGTCGCATGTTGTGGCAGCAGTGTGGTGCCACATACACACCTGGCGTTGTTACTGCAGCATGTTGGGATTTTTTTTGTGTTTCCGTGTAGATGAAAAGCATATTTTTAGAAACGACAAATAAAAATACCATTTTGGAAAGACTTTTCTGTTTGGACTGGCCTGAGTTCCTTGAAACCCAAACCCAACAAGGTTGCTGCAGTTCTGTCTGATAAGGAGCCTGGGTCTGCACAGATGACACTAGTCCCATGTACAGGTAGTTTCACCCCATGTGAAGCTGCATTATTGATCTTCAGTGACATTTTGACCTGCCACAATAATTTAGCTTTAGACACTACAAGTTTTTGGTAATCATTTGCCACTTCTGACTCACTTGGTGCCATTTCCTTATTGTATGCACCTTTTAATGTAGCAACACACGTAAGCAAATAAACTCACATTTTACAAGCATTATAGCTGAAGTACCATTGTACATTTCAAGTATTGCATTTCTAAAACCCAACCCTCCACTCTCTGCGTTATAATTAGTACAGGTTCTATATTTAGTTTTGAGCCCATATGACCATACAAGCAGTATCATTGGTGTGACACCATTCTGGTGTGTTGTTGGAAGTCTCATGCATGTCCATTGGATCAGGTCATGGCGACTGACCGCTTGCAGCAGGCGTTCGTCATGCCCTTTATCCTCATTGAATGGATTTACACTACTTGACCTCTTGAAAGAGTTGCACGTATGTGCATGCTCTGCAGCGCTCGATTCTGCTGTTACCAAGAGTGCCGTGTTAACTGGCACTGGAAGCTCCAGCACACTGAGCTTACTCTGGAGATCTTTGTTAGTAAAGCGCTTGGTTGTCCCCAGAAGGAAGCAGAGGATCTACCATGGGTATGTAATTTAGTACCGCTTCCATCATTTGAGCAGATATGAGTACTTCAAGGCCTCTTCTGTTCTTAATTGACAACTAGTCCCCTGTGATATCACACCCATAGCAGATGGTGGTGGATGTTGCTACATAAGGCTGTTCAGGTTATTTCCAAAATAAATAAGTTAAATTTATTTATTTAAAATCTAATAGAAAAGGATGGTGATGACAGTACAAGGTGGATGGGTTGGAGAGGATTATGAGGAAGCCAGCTTCCACAGCATTTGTGCATCTGTGTTAACATTTCTACTGCTGGCCTGTTGAAACTGATCACAACTTGTCCTGAGGTCAGATATAATGTTAAACTCCACTTGTGTTTTCTTGTTTTTCCATAAAATCCAGATTGCTGTAAATTGAGCCAGACAGGCAGACCTCCAACTGTCCTGTCATTAAAACAAATTTTTAAAAGTTTGAGGAGAATAGGTCCTAAATCCTTTTCTCCAAAAGTATCCCTTCATTGTTTTACTTTGTGAAGTTGTCACAGAATGTTTCAAAGTTGTATAAATGCAGGCTATAATATGACACTTTCCCTTTAACATTGTTCCAAATGGATGGATGTACTATTAGGAACAATATATATATATAATTACAACATATATTTGATTAAAGTATTTGGTTTGTGGTTCAAGTGAGCAGGACGGTTTTAAAATATGTCATCGATTGCTCATTTTTTAACTTCTGTGACTTTTCGTTTCCCTCCATCAACCATGCAACCTTTGTTGAACTGACATTTTTTTCTCCTAACCAAATATTTCACCCTCACTCCCCACCTACATCTACCCTGTAGTCTTTCCTTGTGGTTGGGCCCAGTGTGCCACGGCAGAGAGATGTGTCTGCACTCACGTACGTTCGTGGTTCTGCCCCATGTATGGAATGTTAAATCATCAGTCTGTAGCTGCTGTTGGTTTAGCAGCTCTGCCTGGAATCCCCTCCTCTGATGCGTTTGTAATAAGGATGTGAGTAAGAGGAAGTTAGACCACTAGAGCTGCTCATGGAGGCCAACACGTGTCTTCAGATAATTTTGCACTACTCTAAAACTTACATGCTTATTTATTTTTGTGTTAATCCTAAAAAAAATGCATGTATTGCCCAGGGTTTCATTTAAGGCTACAGAACATTTGCTTTGACTGTATAAACGGACTAAAAGATGAAAGGGTTGTTTCCTCCTAAACGTCTTTGTTGCTCAGCCAGTGAGTGTTCTTGCTCAGAATGTTCTGCCATGTATAATTAAAGCTGAGGGAAACTTAATCTTTCCACTGGGTGGTTTAGTCTGAGGAGTGAGTTGGCACCTGGCACCAGTCATGCCTCACATTGTAATAATGGCAATGGACAATATGATAACGATGGTAATAAAAGCATATTGCTAAAATGTTGTTGCTATAAAAAATATTATTGCTGTTGCTGTTATTGCAAATGAAAAATGTCAAATTTCCAACATGTTAATTCTGCAACTAAAAATCGGCTTTCTGTTTGTTTAGCTATTTTGATGTGTTTTTTTATTGATCTGACTTCAGGTATTTTTGAAAATCAGAATGTTCTTGTTTTGATGCAGCTTTATTTAAAATCACTAACTATACATGCTGTTACGTACTGTTAGGCTGTATTACCACGTCTTCACAAAACTACATTTGTGCAACATCAAATTCTTTATTGCCGTTTCTTTTACTCAGAAAAGTATTTCAGTCAGTGTGAGTTATTAAACTGCCAACCTTATTCTAATTTGTTTTTGACAATTTGTTAAAGTCAGTCTTACTAAGCTGTTCTGTAAATCACTGCAGTATAAATCCCTAACATGGGTACAACCTTCCTCATCTTTAGATACAGGAGTGTTCACACCCTGCTCAAATACACGTGACCGTTTCTTGAAATACGTTTGTCATTGAGTACACACGAGGTGTTGATCTTTTTACTAATAAATCAGGATTTTACACATAGTTTCCATGCTACAATGTGGAGTGTGTGTCATAATGAAATCGTGGATATTCCACCATTGTCACAGTATGACTGTGCAGTGACTCAACTAGGAGTGGGTGGGGGGTTATATAAAATGTAGAATATGCTGAATTTTACTCATTTGAGTACAGATTATGGAATCACTTTGACAAATATTAGTTTTGGAGATCAAGATTTTTTTTAAATTTTCATTTTACAAATTAAAATACAGTCCACAGCTATCTTTAAAAGCCTGAATGTGGTTTGCATCAGTTTTACTTTTTGGGGATTGTGCAACTCAAAAATCATAAGCAAGACAAGTCAGACTTTCATAAAACCTATGCTCACAGTTGACCATTGTTTACATAGAATTGCACTATTTGTATTTCATAATACTAATATTAAATTGGCATATATTTTTCTTGACCTTTTCACTGTATAATTTCAGCTTCTTTTTTTCTTTTCCACCCTACGCAGAACATCCCCTGTTAAACCAGTGAACACCATGCCGCTGCCAAAATCTGTCGACATGGGCTCTGCCTTCATCCAGACGCAGCAGCTCCACGCTGCCATGGCTGACACTTTCCTGGAACACATGTGTCTGCTGGACATCGACTCTGAACCCACCACTGCACGCAACACTGGCATCATTTGCACCATTGGTTAGTTAAGGCTCTTTGTTTATGTTAGAGATCGTGTCTTACAGGGTGTTTTACACGTTCCCTTACTCAAGGAACAAATATAATAAATTTAAGTTCCACTAGCCTTGTTTTAAAGGTATATGTAGAATATTAAGTTATCATGGTCACTGTCAATACTATTCTGTAAGGATTTTGAATTCCTGCTTTATAATATCATAACTATTAAAAAAATAGAAAGTTTTGCATCTAACTCTAGCTTGGTGTTTAGATTAGCATCATACTGACAGATGTTTGCTGATATTTTACATTTAGAGCTCAGTTATGCCAATATAAATCATACCACTCAGCTAACGGGGGGTGCAATAATTGTTGCATTGTTTGTTGAATTCTTATCATCTTTGCAGGGCCAGCTTCCCGTTCTGTGGATATGCTGAAGGAGATGATCAAGTCTGGAATGAACATTGCTCGCTTGAACTTCTCCCATGGCACTCATGAGGTAAGATAATTTGTTTACCCTCCTGCAGCCCTTGGTCAAAATGGCCCACCAGGCTTCAGTCTTAAACTGAGGCCTTGTGGGTTATTTTGAAGGATTAAATCTGTTCTTTCATACAAAAATGTTGTGCACAAGCAGCTAACCATTCACTTTGTGACAACACAGTTGAATTGTGCTGAACATTCCAACCAAACATGCTTCTGTGCTCTATCACTGCAGTAGCTGGTATGTTGTGCGTTGTGCCAATCTTTGCTGTCTTTTCTCTTCAAACTGTTGTGAAAGTTGATTGCCAACAGGGTCACAGTGAAAAAGCACGCAATGCATTATCAAATGTAATCAGCTAGCTGCTTTATGAAAGAGCATCTGGTATAAATGGAAACAATAGTTGTAGTTAAGAGCTGATAAATGATGCCACATTTTAAAATGAAATGGCAGCAGACAGTGGTGTTCTTCCCAGGTTTTAAACAAAGCTTGTTATATCTTGCACACATCCAACTTCATTATATTAGAATAAAAATGTACATCTATTTATTTATTTATTTTTTGGTCTTAAAACGGGAGCAAAGAAATATAAGGAACTTATCAAACTTTATGCAACAAATATGACAAAACTTTAACCAGCATACTAAATGATGCAAGAAGAGAGACTGAATGGGCTTATATTAAGTAATGAACGTCCCTTGGAGGAAACAAACTGTGCTAGCATGCACCACCCACATGAGGAAGTTGCTCACTGTTGGAGTAACTGTCAGTCCTTTTTGAAAGTACCTTTATTTTGTTTTGTTTCTTTACACACCAAAATATTTTTCTTAATTTTTGTTGTTTTCATGCAGGTATACATACAAGTCCAAGTCAATTTAATTGTCATTCTCATCACTTTGTAGTGCATGACGTGGAATGACATTATGCACTCGAGGTCCCAGTTACACCCAACAATAGCAACAATATCCATCCATCCATCCATTTTCTTTACCCGCTTATTCCATTTTGGGTCACGGGGGTCGCTGGTGCCCATGTCCAGCAATCACTGTGTGAGGGGCGGGGTACACCCTGGACGGGTTAGCAACAATATAAAGTGTAAAAAGTAACAGTAAATAAAGATAGACACTAAGATATATGCTAAACAAACGCCAAACTGTACACTAACAGATCTAGGATATACGCTAAACACTAATCATGTAAAACTATATGGCGTATCAACAGCCCGAACATGAGTCTGTGATGAGCACATGGGTATGAATGAATACAGCAGCATGAGATCAGCAGCATGGATAATCAGCAGCACAAATAAGTCACATACTTATCTGTTAGAACAAGGTGATTGTCTAATTTCCTATTGCTTTTAGTTGTGGTAACTTTGTGTTGAGAGCTTTTTTGTGGAGAGGCATCAGTTAGTTTCCTACCAACTTGTAAAAATCTGAATGCAAAATTACAGCTAGAATTTAGTGTCTATATTTATATCTGACATATCTTCAACACCAATGTATCTGCAATTTACACATGACTGGCTCATGACATTTTATAAAATCTGACAATTTAGTGACAAAAGGTACCCAGCTTTAAGGCACTACATATTTTTGAGGAATATTTTACAAAGTCCTAAAACTCCATTTAGTTTTTAAATTACTTTTTGTTATGCCTTTTCATATTTCTATGAATCATATTGTTTTCATACAGTTTAATTTTTTTATTTTATTTTTTCTTTAGAATTTCTATGCTTTATAAATTTTAGTATTTCTCAGATGTTATCCCAGGTATGGGTTCTAGCTGCTTTATGTTTTTAGAATAGTTAGAATTTATGTCCCAACAAAGCTTAAGATGGCTCCTTGAAAATAAAAGGCGATCTAAAGTATTACTCGTCATTTCTACATTTCATAAACTAACAATGGTGAAGGTAAGCTCAGGTTTGGGGGACCCTGGAAAAAGCAGCAATGATCACTTGTGAGGTAATTTATTACTCAAAGCTCTGGTTTCCCAGGCGGAGAGCAGACACTGCCTTCAAAGTAATCAACTCTGCACTAACTGAAAATGACCCTTTTTATAAAAGGGCACGAAGACTAAAATCACATCATATTCTGTTCCAGCTTTTTCACAGCAGGACTAAGAGCCACTCTAATAGTAGTTGTAAAATCACTAAAACAAGGTATGGATGGAGAACAAACTTTGAGCACTCTATAAAACCGAGCCAGACATGAACAAAAAACATATCCGTCAGGATTTAACACGTCTATTTGTTGGCACATTAAAATTCTAATTTAGCTTTATTTCCACTCTATTTTTTATATTATATTTAAAAAAAAAAACTTTGCACTTCTGCTGACCTAAATAAACGTCCTTATCTTCTTCTCCCTGAAACTGATAATTGTCATAAATTTCAAGGGTACTTAAGGCCACCTGTTGATGACATCACTCCTTGTGAAACTGATTCAGTTTTATTACTGCCAACCACTTTACAGACTAATGTATATACTTAACAAATGCAGTCTCCTGGGCTTATTTATTGATGCTTGTAATCAGGTTTTGGCATTCAGCTTTTCTCCTTATGACTTGCATCTCCCACGTCGGTTGGGTTTGGAGAGAAAAACTGTGTGACTCTTGGTAATTCTGACTCACTTTATGGTTTTGTGAGTTGTCAGGCACGCCTTGTTAAGCTGCACCTGTCCTGATTTTCATGTCTGAGTAAAATGATAAC